TGGTGAATTCTTACCATCTTGTCTAGTGAAACTCTGTATTATCTCTAATGTTTTATCTAATAAATATTTTCTTATTCTCTTTAATGGTTGGAGCAATCTTCCATTCTTACATCTGGTAGTCTGAGCAATACATCCTCACTGAGGATAGTGATATGTAATATAACAACCACTGTTAATTCATATTATTTTGTCTTGAAATCCTATATCACTTTAGATGTGCTTGCTTTGGTTTGCTTATGTTTGTGGTACTGGTATGCTGTTATTGTTCTTCTTTTGTTTTGTTTTGTTTGTTTGTTTGTTTCTCATTTACTACTCTCTTTAAAATAAAATTTTTTTAAAAAAAGATATTTCCCCTTTTTTTGAGACAGGATCTCACTACATAGTCCAGGCTAGCCTTGAACCCCCTGTGACCCTCCTGCCTCAGCCTCCCAAGTGCTGGCATTACAGGCATGTGCCACCATGCTCAGTGTATTTCCTTATATTTTATTAAGGAAAATTAAGTTAATTTTTCAGTTGTGAAATGTACACTAAAAGTAAAAATTATTTGTAAAGCTAAATAAAATAGAACAAAAATTGTTTATATATTTAAATTTTTTTTCTTTTCACATTTGTTTCTGTAAACACTTTGATGAGAAAATGTGAAAATACTCTGCTGTATGAAAGTGATCTTATTCCATTTTTTTTTTTTTTGCCATTCTAGATGTATATTTTCCCTTATAGTAAAAAAGTGTCTATTTGCCATTAGGCCTTCTAAATTCTTCTATGAATCTCCTTTCTCCATTCCTTGGCCATTCCCCTTGAGAACTACAGGAGGGAAGACTACTTCCCGTGGTTGCCATCTCCTTCCTTTTGGTTACTTAGCAATCACTGATCTTGAGTAAGGGCAACAAAAGCAGGCTGACTGAACTCTGGGTTTCTCCTTTGAAACAGGCTGTTTTCATTGGTCCAGGAATTGAAAAAGGAAGCTTCCCTCGTCACCTTGTCAAACCAAATAGTCGTTCCTGCTCACTGTCTGTGCTTACACAACGCAGAGAGGTCGCAGGTACAGAGGTCTTTCCCCTTCGTGTGGCACACCCTGCCCTCCTCCATCCCCCAACATGTCCCTGAGAGCTGGCACAGTCATAGGGTGCACTTTCCCATGCTAGTGCTTCTGCAGGACACCCACTTTGCTTTTCTCAGGGTTCACATTGAGTGTATCGTTACATGCTGGTGTCGTTGCATGACACGGGATGTCTGAATTTGGGAAAAGTAATGCTGATGTCCTTGGACCAGATTTGCCTTTTTGTTGTGCTGTTATGAGACCCAAGGGGCTTTTCCTCAAATTCTAGACTAAATGCAGGAAATCCAGTCACTTCATTATAAACACTTGTAAATCATCCTTCTTTGCATTCTAAAAATCTCCCCTGACTCTTTATAACAGAAAATGGAACTCTCAAAGAAAACAAACATTTTAAAAGGTCTGATTTCATTTAGATTTTGCTCTTAACATATTTTTCTCTCTTAAAATGAGCTTGACATTGAAATAACTTTGGATGCTTTGCTCAACATGCCATGAACATTTTAAAGTATAAGTTATAGATAGAAAAGAAACATTAGATATATATATATTATATAGAATATTTTAGGATGATCTGAGTTAGAGGTCCTTGCTTAAGGTGCAGATGTGAAATATAGTTTAAAGAATAATCCTCAGTGGTTTACAGATCTTGTATCCTCCCTGACTTTGGAACAGATTCAGTACTTTTAGAGTGAAAATTTTTTTCCTTGTGTTTTTTTTACATGAATAAGTTAATATTCTGGGTACAGTATGAAAAACAAATCAAACTTCTTTATTCTTTTTCTGGCAGTTTTACATTTATATGTAGTGCCTTCTGCCAAGATAAGCTATAAATTCTTTTTGTTGATTTAACAGAGAGCTATAAATAAATGATCCTGCTACATTTAGGGAATACTTTTTTAAACCTAAAATATTGGCAGAAACAGAAAATCATCCAACAAATAACATTTATTATTTTTTCCTGTTGTTTAAGGCATTTACAATCAAATATTTAATTTTAGAATAAGTTCTATGGAAACATTTTGGATTTTCCCTATTTGTGGTTGTATATTTTGCTATGTGTACCTACTTATGAGAGACAACAAATTATATTTCTAGGTTCAGTTGGTAGTGACAAAAAACTCAGACAAAAGTGAGGCTTTTTGCTTCTAAGAGATACTCAGTAGTAGTTGTTGTTGGTGGTGGTTATGGTGATTCCTAACTCTATAATTGAGATGAAAACACAACTTTTCCTGTGACAATACAATGGAACAAGAAGCAACCGATACAGACACAGGGAATGGAGACCTCCTTGATTCAGATGAAGAAAAAATATGAGTACATATTTGGCTAGTAGAAATGGTACAAAATGGTCATGTAACCAAATGGAATGATCGATCCAATGTTAAAACTAGGTCCAGAAATGTTGTGAGGATCTTAGTGGGATGAAACCTACTGGATGGAATGCCAGCACTGCCATTCAATTTTGCAAATTATTTGTAGCACAAAAAATGCTACAAGATGTTGTGAAATATACAAATGGTGAAATACAAGTAAAACATTCTGTACGTATCAATAGCCGTACTAAAAAATGTGTTTACTATGATACCTCACTAACTGAACTGAAAGCATTCATAAGTCTGCTGTGCATAGCAGAGCTTTCCATTGGTAATTGCAGGTAAATAAAAGACTTATGGAAAAGTGATGGATATGGGATGAGAATAGAATAGAATAATGATGACATTTGTAGAATAATGATGACTTTCGAAGAGATATAATTTCCTTCAAAATTGGCAGAAGTTTAATGACAAAACCACCCATTAAGTAAGAAAAA